TGGACCATGGGAGGGGAGGCGGGGGAGCCGCGGAGCGCCTGACCATATATAGAGACTACAGTAAAATAAGGGCCTTAATAATTAGAATAGGGTTTTGGGGCCCCTTATACTATAGTTATAACAAGGAACCCCCAAAATAGTATAGGTAATTATTTAGGCCCCTATAGTACTCCAAAAAGGTCAAAGGTTACCTACCCTAGCTACTACTACGACCTTCGAACTCAATCACACCAAGCCCCACAACCCTAAACCCTAAACCCTAAACCCACTGCCGTCTTTTTTGGGACTCTAGACCTCCGGATCGCATCTTGTGGCGTTCGTGGGGGTGCGGGCTGGTTTAGGGTTTATAGGGTTTGGAGTTTAGGGTTTAGGGTATCGGGTTTAGTAGTTTAGGGTTTAAAGTTTAGGGTGCAGGAGACTGTGGCAAACCTTGTGGCCAAGAAATGGACCAAAGCGCAGGGGGCCCAACGTACAGCACTGGAGCTTCGGGGTCACCCTGAACCCTAAACCCTACGCCTTTAAGGGCTTCGAGTTTGCGGGCTTTAGGGTTTAGGGTTTAGGGTTTAGGGTTTAGGGTTTGGGGTCACCCTGAACCCTAAACCCAAAGCCTTTAAGGGCTAAACCCCCAAATCTTCCGCCGAAATGCTAAGTCAAGAGTTCAGGGAGGATCCCGACATCCGTGTGCATGTTGCCCCGCGACTCCGAAACCACTTCATTAAGGAAGTTCTCTTGAAGGATAGTGGGAACTCAAATATCAAGTCTTGCTTAATGGATACTCCCTGATTCATCTAGAAGTGACAACCTCTCCTGAGACAGTATCTGCCCCAGCACCTCATTCAAAATCAATAACAGCACGCTACATTCAACCTGAACGACGTAGATTCCTTCAAGCTGCAAGACGTTTCTGCCTAAAGCCTGAAAGAAGCATATGGGAGTTTCCGAAAATAAAGGGTTCCTTATTTTGGGGTTTTTACAATAAGGATCCTACTATTTGGGGTACCATATAGGGTCCCCCATTTTCGGAATCCCCCATATTCCTTAACAAAACGAGGTTTCGGAGCCTCAGGAGGAGCTCCCTGCTCTATACACGGGCTTTGGACCATGGAAACTTCGGCTTTGGATTTCGCGCTCAAGGCTTCTTCCTCGGGCAGCATAGCCAGACACCAAGAGCTAGTATAGGGGCCTTAATGACTAGAATAGGGTTTTGGGGGGACTCCTTTACAGAGTTTCCTTAAAAGGTTCTATAAGGGTTACTATAAGGGTATGAGGTTTAGGGCCTTAATCATTAGAATAGGGTTTTGGGACCCATTATACTCTATCTATAATACGGAACCCCGAAAATGGTATTGGTAATTATTTGTGCCCCTACATTAGTGCCGGGGTCAGGTTTCGCGGTTTAAGGGTCTGGGGTCTTGGATGCCCAAGGATTCGACCCGAATTCAGCAACCCCTCGTTCATTTCAGGTCGACGCGATCCAACAGCGTGCCGGACCGTGGCCGCATCGGCGGGCCGTCGCCCTTAGGCGGCCTGGACAAAGCGTTTAGGGAGCTTAGGGCGTCGGGGCTTGAGGCCTGGAGTTGATCTAGAGAACAGAACTATCGCTGCTTTAAAAAAGATCTGAGTTTTTGGTCTAGGGTTTGGGGTTTAGNNGGGTGTAGGGTTTAGCATTTCGGGTTTAAGGTTTATAGCATGGACAGCTTCATACAATCTGAAAAGCAAGCCCTTTGCAAGATTCCTTGGGTAGGGCTTCGGGCTTCTTCCCTATAACCGTCGTAAACCGGAGAACCACAAAAACACTTGCAAAGTCACATTAAAAAGCTTGAAAGAAAAGACTAAGCCACAACCCCCTAAACCCTAGACCGTGCATAAACCCCAAGCCCCAAGCGCTAAACCCTAAACCC